CCGCGTGCCTCTTTCGGGCTGTGCCCGGCCGGGCCCCACGGGCCAAGGCCCGGCCACCAGGCGCTCGCCAACGCCGGTGACCCTAGTCCGGGCGAGGGAAACGGGACTTTGATATTGTACTTTTTCATAGGGTTCTTTCGGATTGCTCAATTTTAATTATTATTCCTATTTTAGATTATCTAATATAGGTTTAAAAATCAGTTTAAAGTTTACCTCTGCTTTTGCATAAGCATTGCATGTGTTCTTTGAGACAATGAATCATTTCCTTCCTTGCTATTTAAATCACTCCTAGATGGGTTTGTGAGAAATTTGTCGAACTCCTTTTTGTTTTATAAATACCCCAATAATTATTACAACAAAATACTGTGCCGCCCTACTATATTATACAAAATACTTTATTTGTCCTTTATTCTCTGACTTTGCAACTTTTTTCATGACTGAGGTTGTATTGTGTTTCAGAGGCAGGGTATTTGCATAAACAATCAACAAATAAAGCATTTCAAGTCCCACCTCAAAGTACCAAAAAAAGTATCCCAGTTTGACACTTTCGGTACTGGAACTTTTGGTACTGGTACATGACCGGTCAATGGAAACCAACAGAAAAGGGACAGTACTGAAAGTACTGTTCCATAAGTACCGGACCTGTTGCAGTGGAAAAGTGCCCTAACATATAGTAAGGAATAAAAACATATTGCATTCAATAATACTTGAACATTTTGGGGTAGTAATTTAATGTGAATGTACATTTAAACATTGAATATTTTAATTGACAGTATTTCTATAGTAATTTAATTGGGAAAATAATTAATGCAAAAGTATTCTCCTTCCATGTCAGTTCCAAATTATACAGTTTATTAAGTTTTGTCACCTGAATTCAGCTCATTTACTTTCGCCTCAAAATAAATTTCAAGACAACAGATTCAGTTGGAAACATTCAATGTGTATTTATGTCATCTTCATAATTCAAGAGGTAATATTCAGTCCCTTTGTTTTCGCTTTACAAATACGCTGCCAAAATTTCAGTGGTTTAAAATATGGTATGAAATTCAACCTTCTATATCCCGGACTAGCAGGATGGTGAAGCAGCACTACAAGAATACAGGAAAATAATTTTGCAAAAAAAATTGTTAAAATAACTGTTAAATCTCTTCACATCGTGTCATGTCTGTTTTTTGCACCACATTATAGAGAGTATCTATAATCAGTATATAAGAGCATCGATAAGTATCAGCATTGATAAGCAGTATTGGTATCGATGTCTGTATCAATAAAATCCTAATGATACCCATCCCTAATCCTAACATACCTCAAAAACTTCAATATACATTTATGACAAACATTATATTATGATAAACTTTATAATTGTAAAAAATGTTTGTCATTTATACAATTATAAAGTATATTATCATATAATGTTCGTTATTAACGTATATTAAAACTAAGATATGTTAGGATGTGGTATATTTACATGCTGCTTATGAGTGTTCTATGAATGCAATACGAAGGTGCAATGAATGTGCATTATAAAAGCATTATGAAGGTGCAGTTAATGTAAAGCCTTACTGTTTAATGTATATTAAAGCTGTTAAGGTATGTTAGCATGTTAAAATATACTTGCATGTTGCTTATGAATGTTCTACGAATGCATTATAAAGGCATTATGAGGGTGCAGTTAATGTAAAGCATTACCGAATAATGGAATGTCGCGGCCAATTTTGACTGCACTAGAGCTAAAGTAAACACTAAAATATGAAGTGGATATACTTAGTGGACTGAATCCCTATAATAAACATTGTTTCAAGGGACATTGTACTCCTAAAAAGTGAATGTTTTGCAAACTTTCAGTTCTTATTTCTCGTTGTCCCTTTGTCAGATGGTTATACCAGGAAGGTCAAAAGTCAGGATACATGGAACCCAATGGCTCAGAATTCCATTACTGCTCTGGACAACATGTTAAGCTTGTCTATCATGTGAGTTGGGCATTGTTTCTCTGTGTTCTCAGAAAAGTGTGGTATTGTAGGGCTGGGCGAAATATCAGATTAGCTTATTCAATACATTTTTACATACAAAATAGCTTGATAATACATTATCTATATTATAGGCAACATGGTTTGCCATAAAATTTCAGGATGAAAAGATCGTGCAGTTCCAGAAAAAGTAATTCAGTGTATGCATTCTCAAAAGTGCTGTCCATATGCAGACATGCGAGGTACAAATCAGGCAGGTGGTAAGGGTCGAGGATTGGGTAGTGACAGACACCCCCACATAGTCCCACCCACCCATACAGTGTCAAAAAAAGAAAAGTGCAAGGGAAAGAAATATTGCAAAGCACAACACATGCACAATAAAGAAAACTGAGTGCTGAAACAGTGAAACAAAGTAAAAATAACCATCACAAAAATATACATACAGCTTTTGAAAAAATTAGGAGACCACAGCAAAATTTTCCTTTTCATTCATTTCTCTATTTATGGTTGTCTCCAGCCAGTCTCTTTATTTTTCATGGATGAATGGCTTCTTCCTTTATAGGACCTCAGTCCTGTGCCTAGGAGCCTGTTATGAACTGTCATAGCAGTGCACTTACACTACTTAATATTTCCCATTCTTTTTGATGGGTGTCATCCACCAAACCATGAATGCACAATTTCCCGTAAGTGTCAACCTAAATTTTGGGATCTCCAAAAGGCTTTGGTCTACCGATCTCCTGTGGAACAAACGTAATTAAATGCTCTGACTGATGGGTGGGAGCAAGGCCATTAAGAGATTTATATAAAAAAAAAAATGTTAATTTTTAATTCAATCCTAAAACACACCAGTAACCAGTGCAGTGCAGTAAGTATCAGGGAAATGTGGTCTTGCTTTCACTCACCTGTTAGCAGCCATGCTGCTGCATTTTGGACCAATTTTAGATGAAAGTTGGAGGCCTAACTGATTCCAGCGTAAAGATAATTGAGACGTGAGAAAATAAACACGTGTGACCCTTTCGAAGTCATCAAAGCTAAGTAAGGGCTTGACCTTCGTTAAGAGCCTTAATTGGAAAAAGCTCTTCTTAACCACTGAGTTTACTTAGTTTTTTGCAAAAATATTAATAAGATAGATATATATTGAATATCAATGCAGTGACCTAAAATATCAAGATATTGTTTTTCAGCCATATTGCATAGCCAAGTTGTATAGTCATTATCATGATATGCTGTTCTCCCTTTGCATCTAGTTTTTGAACCTTAGTCTTTTTCCCTTAAAACGGCATATTCTTTCTACATCTCAGGTCTGTCCTGACCATGAAACAGAAGGACAAAGAGCAATCTCAGAAACATCTGAATAACCTGAAGGACAGGTGATTAGTGTGAGATTCCTTGTGGCTGTCTGTTGATATCATATCAAAAGGATTTAAATTAAAGAAGCAATCTATAGGAATGATTCTAGGCCTAGTTCATAGGTTACAGCATATTCATAAGAAAATAATTCACCTTTAGTAAGGCCTTAACTTTAATAGCCCTTTTTCTGTTCTGTTTTTTTGTTTTTGACACTCTTGCAATATTATTAAACTCTTACTGTGATTTGATACTTCCCAAAGGTTCATGTCAATCTGCACACAGCTAAAGGTCCCCTCCCAAAAACATGGTGCCATTCTACAAGGTTCTCACCTTCACCAGGTTGAAGCCAAGAGGGCAACACTGGGCAAGCAGTGTCTGGAGGTTATTGAGGTGAGGGAAGTTTGGAGTGTATGTATTTGTATGTTTAGGGGTTTTGTTGTTCTTTAACAAGCTGATTCTGTGCACATGTATTAGGAGCAGGTGAGCACAGTCGTTAGGGCTCTGGAACAGCTTGAAGGTAAGATAGAGGTACTGAAAGAGGAGAACAGGAGACTGAAGAACAAGCTGGAGGAGCAGGAGAACAGTTGTCAAGAGGTAAGTTGATCAGCATCCACTTCCCTTAACATTTAACAAATGATAGGCTAGGATACTGGATGGTCTACCTCACTTACAGCAACTGTTATTTGTAGATTTACATATGATTGCCAGACTTTGTTGAACATCAAATCAGTGATCGCTCACCGAAAACCAGACAGAGTTCTTCAATAAGAACTTGTTTGGAGATTCTCCGCTGGGCAACACTGAAACGTTTCCATTCATCTGGGCTGCCTGGCCGCCAAAACGACGCCACAGAGAATAATATACATAAATATGCGGAATCAGTCTGTGGATTAATAAGGAAATGCATTGAGGTTGTTGTCCCGTCCAAAACAATAAAGATATACCCAATCATAAACCCTGGATAAACAATGAGGTTCGTGCAACTCTCAGTGACAAACTGCCACATACAACACCAGCAATCCATAGGAATACGAGCAAGCCAGCCATGCCCTCTGTAAAACAATATAAGCCAAGTGTGAGTACAGGGACAAGGTGGAACTGCAATTTAAGGGAGACATCCAAAGCGTGTGGCAGGGTCTGAACACCATTACAGACTTCAGAGGGATAGCATGTCATGCACTACCGCATCTTAACCAGAAGAGCTGAACATTTTTATGCTTGCTTTGAGGCAAATGACCGCCTGCCCAGAAAGGCTGCATGCCACTGATTGCATTCCCACACTCTCCATCACCATGGATGAAGTGCACCAGTCCTTCCTGAGAGTTAAAACTCGCAAGGCTGCTAGACTGGACAGCATCTCTGGGTGTGTCCTCAGAGTGTGTCTGAGCTGGCTGGAGTGTCAGTGCTTCGAAAGACTGATCAGGGACTTCATCTGCTCCACCCTGCCTGCCACTTTGGACCCGTTGCAACGGATGATGCCATAATCCTGACCCTGCACACCATTTTCTCCCACCTGGAAAGGAGGGACACGTATGTAAGAATGCTGTTTGTGGATTACAGCTCAGCATTCAACACCATCGTTCCCTCCAAGCTCAACTGGACAGTACCACAGCATTAAGAGCCAGATCAGCAGGCTCCCAATACAGTTTCTTCCTCCAGGTCATCAGGATGCTGAACTCCAACTGATATGTCATCCCCAGAGCATCACCCCCACTCCCCAGTGAATGCCTCTGGTTCACTAAACTGTACTGCATTACACCTACAGTCTGTCTGTCTGCCCCATGGGATATTGTATGCATACTGTATGTATGCTGTATTGTCTATTGTTGCATTTCTGCATATGTAGAGTTGCATATTGTTGTACATGTATCTTGTGTACAGTCTCTATGTACAGTACACTGTTGAACAGATGTTTTTTTTCTCATACAGTTAGCCTTTGTTTAATGTATTGCACAGCATATAGGAACTTGTGGTTTTTGTGGTGGTTGTTGTGTGTGCAGGACGTTTTTATTTGATATACTATATGTATGTGGTATAGCTTGCTGTGTGAATGATTCATTGTGGCATTCTATAGTTCTTGCAGTTGGCTGAACAGGGTATCCTGCACCTGCCCACTTTACCTCTCAGAAATGGACAAGAATGCCCCCTGCAGGTATCTCTGAATGCACCACTGGAGACCCATGTTCACTGCAGCATTCTCTCGTGGCAGGTTATGAACCAGTTTCTCAGCTGTAGCTCTGTTCAGATTTGTGGCACCAGCATGCCAATGTGACTGCTGACATAATGAGGTGTAATGAGATGCGTATGACTACGGCACCATTTTGGTGGACAGATTAATTTGCTAATCTGCTATCATCTGAACAGGAGCAGATGGTCGGGATGGTGACAGGGCCTGGTGTGGCTGGCCACCTGGTACAGACCCTAAAGAGCTCTTTGGAACTGGAGGGCATGCACGCATTTCTGGAGAAATCTCACCAGCAAGCTGATGGCCTCCTGTGGAACACAGGCCAGCCCAACCACCACTGTCCCTTTCCTCGTTAAGTGATGATGAGGATGTTGGATTCAGCAGAGTTTATATACACATAATTTTTTTTTTTTTTTTTAGAATAAATGAGACATTACTTCTGGTGTTGTAAAATTCCTTCCAGAAACAGGCCTAGGTTTCTGATTTCTGATTCCAAATCTTGAGCTAATCATTTAATAAATATTTAAATATACATACACATACAGTAGGTGTCGGTGCATTCTTCATCTGAGTATGGCTGACAAACTTGCTGTATTCTTCCTTATGATATTTCTACAAGTCCCTAATTAGATTTGTTGTATTAAAGGATGTTCTTGCTACCTCCTATTGAAAGGATGACATTGCCAACTTAGCAGGTGGCTGTTGGGCTACGATGATTTATTTTCCACTTCAAAGAATTTAAACATGGCTGACATCTCAGTAGTTTGTAGTTTCAACCCATGTGCCTCAGGCTTACTGTAGTGTCTGGGCTATAGGTAGCTGATACCAATCAATTCAAAAATGCCTGAGTTGGCCCTGATTCTGATCTTTGATGTCTGTTCAGGACATCACTGGTAATGAACTACCACACAGTAGAAAGAGGGACAATCAGATCTAACAGTACTGTACAGTAATGGGCGGAAGTTTTGGCAGGGACACAAATGTGTTTCTCAAACTTTGCAGCTTCAGTTTTTGTGGTGGTGATTCATACTTTATTACAGAAACACAATTTTCACAGCATGTTGACCAGGGGAAAGTAAACAAATACAAATCAGCTAAAATTCATCTATCATTCTGATTGTATTGAAGAGCAGACTGATTGCTATAAAAGGAGGGCAGAAGTGCTTGAAATCATTGCGTTAATGTTAGTAATGGTTACCTCCAAAGAAACATTGTAGCCGTTATTGCTTTGTTTCAAAATGGCTTCTAATAGTATTGTACCTGAAAGAACCATCTACCAGATCATCAAGAACTTAAAGGTGAGAGGTTTAGTTCTGGTAAAGAAGGGCTCAGTATTTCTAGTAATGTCCAGCAAGCAACAGGACCGTCTCCTGTGGAGTCAACCATGGAATCCTGTCACCACCAGTGCAGAGGTTTCTCAATATTGGCAGCAGGTGGGTGTGAATGTATCTGCACACAAAGACTTTTGGACAATGGCCTGATATCAAGAATGTCACAAAGAAGCCACTTCTCTTCAAAAAAAAATATCAAGGACAGAAAATTTGGACAGCAGAAGGTTGGTGGAAAGTTATTTTCTTTGAGGAAGCCCTGTTCCAACTGGGACATCTGGAAAATCAATTGTCCAGAGAAGAAAAGGTGAATGCTACCATGACTCTTGTGCCAACAGTGAAGCATCCTGAGGCCATCCATGTATGGGGTTGTTTCCCATCCAAGGGAGTGTGCTTACTCACAATTCTGCTGAAAAACAGTCATGAATAAAGAATGGTATCAAATCATCCTCCAGGAGCAACCTTTCCCAAATGATCCAGGTGCAGAACCAGGAACATCTGCAGTGATTCAACCAACCCAGACACAGCCCTTTCACACTTCTGCAATTCAGTAACTGCTACAAAGCCCTGTATGCTCACATGGCAAGACTGAAGAACAGTTTCTACCCTCAAGCTGTCACCTTGCTAAATAACCTACACTAGGACCACTACTCACAGCAGCACCAGACTGACCTAACCCTAACTGCTACTTATCCGCACCACACACATACATGCAGAAATATGCACTTTAAGTATATTGGCTCCTAGCCATCATTCAATCACCCAAGTTGACTGTATGATAATGCTGCTATGAAACTTATCTCAGTACCATTATTGTTTTCCATGTAATCCATTAGGCTGTGCAATATTGCCGTTCATGATCATTATCCTGCACTCTCAACTGATGGACTTATCAGGTGCAGTTTTCCTCCTGTACATTAATACTGTATATTGTAATTGCTATTTATGCTATTTATTTTGTTCTATTTTTTTCCTTAAACTTTCTTAAAGAGGCTTCTACAGGAAGATTTAAACGTCATCTCATGGAACTTGTACAGTGACAATAAAAATATTTTATATCTTGACTGCGGGATGAAACCGGAGTACCTGGAGTAAACCCTACCATGACACAGGGAGAACACACAAACTCCACATACTTGGAACCCAGGCCGAGACTTGGACCCTGGTCCCAGAGGTGTGAGGGGCAGCACACACACTATATTGCCAAAAGTATTGGGACACCTGCCTTTACACACACATGAACTTTAATGACATCCCATTCTTAAAACATAGGCTTTAGTATTGAGTTGGCCCACCCTTTGCAGCTATAACAGCTTCAGCTCTTCCACAAGCTTTAGGAGTGTGTTTATGGGTACACATCTCGGGAACTAACATGGCTGGATCCACAAACACGCTGTTGTTATAATATTTTAGCAGATTTGGAGCGAGATGCTATTTTTTAGAGAGAAACAAACAAAAAACACTGACTAGTAAAACAAATAATAATAATAATTGATCCCTGTGGGGAAATTGTTTTTACACCTCCCTCAACTTGCTCTTTGTAGAGCAAACTGTCCACAAAGGGCAGCCACCCGTAGTGGCGCCCAGGGAGCTGGGGATTGAGGGTCTTGCTCAAGGACCCGCAGATGTGCTGAGGCTGGGCTTGAACCAGCGACCTTGTGATTACAGGCTGGACAGGCTATATACACTTGGCTTAGCCCACTGAGCCACACGCTGCCCCTATAAAACCACAAGCTTTATAATATTTTAGTAGATTGATATTGTTTTTTCAAGAAACAAGCAAATCAGAAACAAACTAAAGACACTAACAAGTCTAGTAAAAATCTGATATTGCATGCTAGGTTTCTGTTTACACTCATGATATAGTATTCTCTAAATCAACCATGTGCAATTACATTTATAACTATTAATGCATTTAACAAAAAGAAATTACTGTTGACTGTGTAAGCTGGCATGTAGAAATGACGACAGTTGAATCTCATACAACAAAATTCTCTCTGACATCAGTATCAGAAAGGGAGAGGGTTTCTAACAGGAAGTGATGTTTTCAACACATTTTCATGATGTTTTTCTTCGACTTACGACTCTGAGAAAGATAATCGAATTCAGGACTTACTACTGCTCTTGCATCTTGTTTGGAGGTGGGAAAAACCTCCACCCGCTTAGAAAACATGGCAAACAGTACTTCTTACCTTCTGCAGGTGTCAATTCAATGAAGTCTGTTTGTAGATGGTCAAATGGGCCTTGTGGCTGTGGGTGTGCCGCTGGCTCAATCTGTTGGCCTCTTCACAGAAAACACAGCACTAAATTTTTTTGTGAGTAATTAATGAACCCCTTTGTGAACCAATACTGTGCTATTGTACTCTACATCCTTTATAGGCCTTTTTGTGATCAATTTCTCTTGTAGTTTCCTCAAAGAATTCAAGTTAATTAGTTAAACAGGATCTACCTCTCATAAATCCATGTTGGCTATCCCTCAGAATGTTATTTTAATCCAGGTAATCTACCATTTTCACTTGGATTATAGCTTCCATTACTTTTCCAGTTATGCAAGTTAAACTGATTGGCCTGTAGTTTGCTGGATTATTTCTATCCCCTTTCTTGAATATGGGCGTTATATTAGCATGCTTCCAATCAGAAGGTACCACACCAGCAGATAAGGATTTCTGGAATAGTAAAGTTAAAGGTTGGCTAATAATATCCTTAACATACAGCTAATTTATACTCCATACTTTATATTCCAATACCATCCATCCATCCATGCATTATCTGCCGCTTGTCCGGGGTTCGGGTCGCAGGGGTAGCAGCTTCAGGAGCGATATCCAGACCTCCCTCTCCCCAGCTACCTCTACCAGCTCCTCGGGGAGGATGCCGAGGCGTTCCCAGGCCTGCCGAGAGATATAATCCTCTAGCGAGTCCTGGGTCTGCCCCGGGGCCTCCTCCCTGTAGGACATGCATGGAAAACCTCTCCGGGTAGCCGCCCAGGAGGCATCCGCACCAGGTGTCCAAACCACACCTTTCGATGTGAAGAAGCAACGGTTCTACTCTGTGGCCCTCCCGGATATCCGAATTTCTCACCCTATCCCTAAGGGAGAGCCCAGACACCCTGCATAGAAACCTCATTTCGGCTGCCTGTATTCGCAATCTCATTCTTTCGGTCATTACCTATAGCTCATGACCATAGGTGAGGGTAGGGATGAAGATGGACCAATAGATCGAGAGCTTTGCCTTTCGGTTCAGTTCTTTCTTAGCCACGACAAACCGGTTAAGCGCCTGCAAAACTGTAGACGCCGCTCCGATTCGTCTATCCAGCTCCCGATCTCGCCTACCCTCACTCGTGAACAAGACCCCGAGATACTTGAACTCCTCCACTTGAGGCAGTAAGTCTTCCCTGACCTGAAGAGGGCAATCCACCCATTTCTGGCTGAGAACCATGGAGACTTGGAGGTGCTAATCCTCATCCCCGCCGCTTCGAACTCAGCTGCGAACCGCCCCAGAGCACGCTGGAGATCCCCAGCAGATGAAGCCAACAGGACGACATCGTCTACAAAAAGCAGCGAGGC